GAAAATGAATGTAAGATTTCCAGGTTACAACACCAATTTATAACGCAAAGTGTTGTATTATACAGAGAATATTTATATTGCGTTACAGTACAAAAGACACAAGAGAGTAATCAGATGGGTGATATTGTACGTGGTTTGCTTGGGAGGAAAAAGAAGACACCCGGAACAGGGTTTGAGGGAAAACCACCTCAATTTGATGTGGCTGGAATGCAGGAGAAGAAAACATAATCTGTTTTCTTTTGAAGTGGTCTTTGCTTCTGATGAAACTCTTCCCTTGAAGCATACACAACCCAAGATCATAATTCAGCCTTTCTCCAGCTGCTGACTGGGAATTATGGGAGTTATAGTTCAACTCATCTAGTGAATACCAGATGGGAAAGGTTATCATACCAGTTCAGGGCAGTGATTTTCAAGGAATGCATGTTCTCTTGAAAGTCTGAAAAAATTCAGGGACAATGATTTGGGATTTGAACCTGATTATGAGAAAACTTAATGTTATAGACCAGTGGTCCCCAGCCTTTTTGGCACCAGGGACCGGTTTCGTGGAAGACAATTTTTCCATGGACCAGGGGGAGGGGGATGGTTTCGGAATGATTCAAGCGCATTACATGATAGGGTTTTGATACGAGTCTGCAAGCAATTGATTTATTATGGTCTCTGTTCAGTCAAACCTCTCTGTGAATGATAATCTGTATTTGCAGCCCCTCCCCAGCTCTAGCATCACTGCCTCAGCTCCACCTCAGATCATCAGGCATTAGATTCTCATAAGGAGTGCGCAACCTAGATCCCTCGCATGCACAGTTCACAGTAGGGTTCATGCTCTTATGAGAATCCAATGCCATCGCTGATTTGACAGGAGGCGGAGCTCAGGCGGTAATGCGAGTGATGGGGAGCGGCTGTAAATGCAGATGAAGCTTCGCTCACTCGCCTGCCGCTCACCTCTTGCTGTGCAGCCTGGTTCCTAACAGGCCACGGACCAGTACCAGTCAGTGGCCCGGCGGTTGGGGACCCCTATTATAGACTACTTTTTAAATCTACTTTAGCAAAGTACTCAGGGACTGATAATGAAGATAATTCATAAATGTTATACTCTGCATGGTATATATTGATGTCAATGCTTACTTAGTTAGCCAGTCCTTTTGACTGAAAGCTTTTAAAGACATTTCTGTCATTTGCATACCATGGTGATCTGTATGGAGTCCCAGTAATTTACAGTAATAAAACAATATTAAAATCAAGATAAATATAATAACATCAATACATTATAGTAATACAGGTGGCAGACAGATGGCATACCTGAATACTCTCCAGGAAGGCCTTGTTTTTACTAATTTCCAGCAGGCCATTAGGATAGACGCTGGTCTGATTTTGGGGGAGGCTGTTCCGTAGCATAGGGGTCACTACCAAAAATCATTGACTGTGAGCCCGTCTCTTATCCTCATGGCAACGGGGACCATTGACAGATATTGTAGAAAGCTTGTACTGGACAGGGTGATTCCATGTGGAGAAGGCAGTCCTGAGGTACCTAGAGGTCAACCATATAGAGCTTTGTAGGTTAAAACCAGCCCTTTGAACTGCACTCAGAAATCAATGGGCAACCAATATAGGCTCTACATGGCTACGGCAACTTGGCAACAAGTGAATTCCTGGCTTTTGAACCAATTGCAGCTCCTGTGTGGCCTTCAAAGACAACCCATGCAGTCTGATTGTAAGGTGATAAACATATGTGTGACTGTTGCCAAGGCCTTCTGTTCCAGATAGGGCCTGTCAGCCTCACTAGGTAGACTAGACCAGGAAATCAACTCCACAAGAAAACTAAAACTTTAATTGAGATTGCCTGTACAGAATCTTGCAAGTCTGTGCTGTACCTCCTCCACCTTCTTATACTCTAGTGAATAAAGGAGGCGTCAGCCTGAGTCACCTCCAATGTTATCACCTCCAGTTAATGTTCTGGACTTAAAACATGTTTCAGCCGCTGTTGCCTAGGTAAAAGCTCTTGCATATCTCCATCAAGATTATCTTCCTTACTCTTTACACTGCCACAACTAGCACAGGCCTAGATATGAAGGAGTCACTAATCCAGAGTAGGCAAATATGCTTAAACATATAGTGGGAGTATGTTCCAACTTCCCACCTCCTTTACATGAAAGTCATGCACAACAGTATGGGGGTATTTATATGCACAGATTCCTTGGTTCTTGAGAATCCTGACAAATAGTGTTCTCAGCTCTGGGAGGATAGGTAAGCACCTTCAGGTAGCATGCTTATAAGTTCCTCATAAACTTTAGGAATAGGTAAAAGACTTTAGAAGGACCAGCAACAAACACAGGCATAATGGAGGAAAGAGGATATGCATGTGCCTTCACACCCATCACTCTTTTGTCCCCTACTTTTGTAGACTGAATGTCCTCAAAGCTTATATATCCATATAGATTTTATTTGTTTGTTTATTTAAAACATTTATATAGCCACCCCTCTTGTACCAAACTGGGCAGTTCGCAACTAAAAAATAAAACAACATCTATCTACAATAAAAAATATTTAAACCAAAAATATATATCCAAATACACACAAACAAATATGATAGGGTTCCCAGCAGTTGCATTACATCATAACACTTCTGTTTTGTTTGAGTCTGTGTTGACTTCTGGCAACTGTCTGGACAAGTCCCTGCAGTTTTCTTGGCAGGATTTTTGAAAGTGGTTTGCCATTGCCTCCTT